GAAAAGATATTCTATTTTTTTAAACAGTAACTAGTCATCGATATTCAATTTAAAATATTTAATTTAGAATATTCAACTTTTTTTTCTTTTTACTGAAGAAACATTTGCAGCAAATAAATATGGTTTTTAATATTTTTTTTTATATATATTCAATAAAAACCAATGTAGGAAAATTTTTTTTACACTTTTCTATTTTTAATAATTTAGACAAACCATTTTTGATGATATATCTTTGATGGCATCATTTGAATTTAAATTTTCATCTTTTAATCAACAAATTTTTAAGCCATAATTAATATACCATTGAATTTATGCATTATTTATTTCATTTATTATTTCTCATCACTTACTTTAAATGAAATATTAATTAAAGATTTTAAGTGAAGTATTGATTAACTGAAGTATTAATTAATTGTTAATTAAAGTATTAACTTTATTGAAAGTTATTAAACGTCACCTATATTAATACTTTTTTCCTATCTTGCATTTGTATCATTGAATAAATTTGTCAATTATCAATTGAAATAAACAATATGTGAGCAAATGAAGAATCAACTAATGATTAATATCAAAAAACATATGTAAATATTTCAATAAAAATTATAAAAAAATAACTGTCATCTGACCTGTAAAATAATCCTTTGCTGTTGACGATTTGTCTTTTGCATGGTTTTTCTTGTTAATTGAATATGAGTATGTTGTGATCCCAATTTCATTGACATTTCCAGTAACAAAACGCTAGCACTATAAGAAATAAATTAATAATAATTAAATAATTATAATACAATTAAAGCTAAGAAGCAATAGTTCATTTTAAATTCATTACAAATTAAGGCCAATAAGCAATACTTTATTTTAAATTCATCACGTAATTAAGAATATTTTACTCTAAAATTCATCACAAATTAAGGCCAATAAGCAATATTTTATTTTAAATTCATCACGTAATTAAGGCTAACAAGCAATACTTTATTTTAAATTCATCACGTAATTAAGGCTAACAAGCAATACATTGTTTTAGGTTCATTGCAATTAATGTATAAAATAGTACTTCGGTTTAAGTAAATTTTGCATCATTTGTTAGATACTTTACAATTTCAACACAATAATTACAATACTATCATATCATGGAAGATAATAAAAAATTTTTTTAAAATTACTAAGCTTATTTAAGGATGCAATTTTAAAAGTAAATGAAAAAATGAATGAAATGGAGCAAAAGAGAAAAGATAATTTCAATCATTCAACTATCATCATTGATTACTATCAATTACATCGAAGTTTAGCTTGATTTATCCCTTTTAAAAATAGCATATAAAACATAAACATTATCAAATTCGAAGAAAAAAAATCCGTTTTTTTGAATATTTTTTTCTAAAATTTTATCGCTTTTTTCCTCTCAATTTTTAGTTGAGTTTTTAAAAATTTACTTTAAAATTGAAACCTCTGATTCAATCAATATCTTTTTAGACTTTATTCAATTTCATTTTCTTGCAGGATTTATTTCAACAAATGAGGAAAAGAAACAAAAGAGGAAAATGAAAAATTCATTTTACGATCTTTTTTAATCACAAAATTACAACAAATGAAAATTGTCATTACAAATTTACCAAAATATTTATCAAAATTTTAAAAACTACAAATGATCTGAAATATAAGATGTGAGTGTAAATTAAAAAAAGAAAGCCTAAAAAATATATCATCCATTAAGCTATCAAAATGAATAAATTTCTTTTCCTTTTTTTTTCTTTTTTCAATTTTTCTTCCATAATGATGCTGTCTTTTATGAAAATTAAGCAAATTAATATTTTATAAATTTTTAAAATTATTTTTTGTCATTTTTAAATTATTCAAATTTGCTATAGCTATAAAAAAGTATATGATTCATATAAAAAAAGTATAGGGATAGTAGTAGCATTTCATCATTACATGATCAATGATATTCTTTTGAAATATTTTTTTTGATCGGTGGATAATTTAAATAATATTTTTCTAACATAAATATGGAGAGAAAGAAAGAGAGAAAGAGAGAGGGAGAGAGAGAAAGGGTTGAATAGCACAATATAAAAACAACCAAATATGCAAAGTGGGAGCATGGAGATGATCGTAGAATAAAAATACGGTAATAATTGATTAATAATTAAATGAAATATATTTTATAATAATTTGACCAAATCTTTATTGACATCTAACATTCCATGTGATTTGCGAATTGTTGACAAATGACATAAAATAATCATTTTTTTTTTTTTTGACTTCATATTAATTTTAGGGTGATATTAAGATAGTAAGATATTTTATACATTTCATAATTATTCATCAATAAATTTATTGGTTTATTTTTTAAATTTCTAACATTTGAAAGATTACAACAATACTCTTTCCTTCGTGCATTGTCATGCACAATAATTATTGCTGGAAAACCAATGAATTTGTTTATCAAAAAAAAAAATTAAGAAAAAATTTAAAAAATCTAGAAGAATATTTTTAAAAAAATTGAAAAAAAAAAAACTAACTGTTGAAGTGCATATTTCCTTTTCCAGCGTTTGTATAATTGTATTAATATAATTGGATTCGATATGGATATTATTACAATTGTACTTAATTCTAGTGGTGTATATGTATAAATATAGAAATTAGTTTGATTTGAAATATCTGAATTTGTTCATATTAAGGTCACAAAGAAAAAGAAAATCAAAAATCGGAAAAAAACGATCATTTTGCATCGAATTTAATGCTTTAATTGAATTTTTCGACTAATTATAAAATAATATGCAAATGAAAAACTTTATTCTACATTTATTCTGTAATTTTATTCTATATTTATTCTGTAATTTCATTCTATATTTATTGTATAATTTTATTCTATATTTATTCTATATTTATTTTATAATTTTATTCTATATTTATTCCATAATTTTATTCTATATTTATTCTATAATTTCATTCTATATTTATTCCATAATTTTACTCTATATTTATTCTATAATTTTATTCTATACTTATTCTATAATTTTATTCTATACTTATTCTATAATTTTATTCTATATTTATTCTATAATTTTATTCTATATTTATTCTATAA